AGAGGAGAACATAACTTCTCTTTTTGAACTCCAGGTGTCCGTGTAACAAATTCAACAAGGTCTGGAAGGCAAGGAGACGGCCCAAGGCCTGCAGGGTTAATTGTTTCTGATTCCAATCGGAGTGAATCTTGTTTCTCTAATTGAGAAGTTTCTTCTACTTCCTCAGGCATCATTCCTCCTGCTAATAGGTCAAGTGCTTGGTGTGTTCCCTCTAGGCTCCCCAAGCCAAGGTCAACATTTTCTATAGGAAGTCCAGTTTTTAAAATGTTAGGAGTGATCCTTCCACTTCTGGGATTAGATGAGTTTTGTTCACCCGCTGCTCCAAAGTTAAGCACCAGGGTTTTGGGAGAATCTAATGGAAACTCAGAAAAGGATGGGATTGGTTCCAAGTCAGTGAGAGTGGAGGGATTACATCCTATAGGTGACATAGAATTTTCTTCACATACTTTCTGAGACAGGGCAGTTGGGGATCTATGTGCTTGGTCTACCCGAGTATTGCAGAAATCAACACCCATAACCCCCAGGTTCCCCAGGGCAGCAAGCTCTTCTACTTTTAAGTCTGTAACTTCAAAGTCTTCTAAGGCCTTGCTTTCTATTGTCACAGTTAATTCTGAATGGACATCTCGTAGCTCCAGGGCTTCTGTTTCTGGTTTCTCTGGGCTCTCCCAAGTCTCTGACTTCTTCTTATTCTCATTCCAAACAGCCAGTTCATAAATCCTTTTACCTTGAAAGTCTTTTGATCTTTCTCTCTTGAGTTTGAGGTTTCTGTAACTAGTTCTGGAATCTGATTCTGGAGCTGAATTTTCCAGCCACTCTTCACTACCAGCTGAAACTCCTTGCTCCCGTGCACTATCTGTTAAACACATATCTGATCTGGCTGGGGACTGCAGAAGCAATTCTGGGGCAGAAATTTTCACAGGTATATCTTGTGGGTTCTGGAGTAAAGACCTAGCTTCTGACGGAAATGAGTCTATTTTTGCTTTTGTGGAAGAAAGAGCCTGTGCGCTCAAGTCAATCACTATTTTACTTTGAGATTCACTTCCTGTCATCAATTTCTTGGACTGTTCAGCCCTTTTGTCAGTCATTTGTAACTTGGGCTGTTCTATTTCTCCCTCCCATGCACATCTGTTCCCACGGTTCAAATTAGAATCCTCTATGCTATTGGGCCCAACACGGATACCTGTTCCCTCTCCTACCATCCCCTCAGAAAGCTTTGGTCTCTTTTCTTTTAGTTCAGCGTTTGCCTCTACCTCACTTTCCCCACAACCCTTAGATTTGTGGAGCTCTTGGCTTTCCTCTTCCTGGATACCAGATTCCGTAAGGTGAGCTTCTACCAAATTCTGAGATTCCATGATATGGCAGTGTATATCTGACAGCTGAGGGCCTGGCTCTACACCTGGTGGCCCTGGCTCTCCCAGCTCAAGTTCAATTTTTCCACCTGGAGATATATCCCTATTAGCATCACTCTGGAAGGAGCTACAAGTCCACATGGCCAAAGTGTCTGTCTTTGGGGTAACAGTTTCATAAGGCCTGCTTTGGCACAACCTTGTCAGAGGCTGTAGGAAGCCGTAGCTACCACCTCTGCTCTTTGAGTCTGTGCATTCTACAACTGACCATTTCCCTAGAGACACCAGAGTTTTTGCAATGGGCTTTTCAGGGTTGCTGACTAAAGGAGCAGAGTTCAAACTTCTATCTGGAGGCAACTCCTCTTGGGATGCACTGTTGTTCAAAGTAGAAGTGGAAGGGGTATCTGAACTTTCGACTCGAGAGAGATTGCTGTTTTCCCCATTGGCCAATAGACCACCACTCAGCTTAGTCTCAGGGGCCCCCTTTCCACCACTACTGTAGAATATATCATACAGGTCCTTAGCATTGGCTGTGGCTAAGCATGAATTTCGCTTTTCCAATTTTTTGGCTTGTTCACTGAACACACTTGAGAGGGGAGGTGGAGGACGCACTAACACAGAGAAAAGGGTCTGGTCTCTGTCACTCTCACTCACCCCAGGAGCCGTCTCATCAGAAGGAATGGCAGCTGGCTGTGCTGAGGCCATGATGGCTACTGGCAACACAGGATTCAAAATGTTAGGACCCAGGAAGCCAGGGCTGAGAGTGTGAGATACAGCTGGGTTTGATTTGACCGGTGCCAAGACAGCATTTGCTTGAGCAGGAGATGGGGAAGCTAGATGAGGTATAACTGGGGGTGGCGGAGGTGGTGGTGGAGGGGGTGGTGGAGGAGGTGGTAGCATTTGCTCAGGTATATGGGATGGCTCATTCTTTTCAGCCAGTACCATTTTTTCCTCTGGAGACCCTTTTAGAATCACCTCTTCCCCTCCAAATGCTTTGGAGATGATGTCAGGAGGCAAGAGGAGATCAGCTGAAGACTCTTTAACCACTGGCAGAGGCTTAGCGGTAGTTCCAGAAGACTTGATGGATAGAAAGGTGTTAAGAGGAGCTGGCTTGCTCACTGTGGCTGAACCTGACTTGCGGAGTACTGTGGATGGGATCGGCAGGTTGGGTCGGATCTTAGTCTGGGCTGAAGTTGTCACAACAGGCATCCACGGGCTAGTATGTGCAACAACCGTTTTCCCAGAGAGCTTGATTTTGATGGGCTTTGCCTTCCCAGCCTCAGCCTTGCCATCCTCTTTGTCCTTACTGTTTTCTACAGCCTCTTCCTTGGGAATACTTGTGGCCATTGAACTTTTTTCCTCTTCTTTCTCTGGCTTCTTCCAGCTGAATTTCCCGAAAGAGGAAGATGTTGGTGATTCTTTCTTTACCTCTTCCTTTAATTGGAGTTTGATGTTACCCTTCCTTTTACTTTCAGCCTTTTCAGGAGAGTTCCCACCCTCATAGAGTTGGTCCTCTAGTTCTTCAGAGACTTTGTCATCCTCTTTTACTTCCTTCATGACCTTTGCCTTTTTTTCTTTCTTTTCTTCCTTTGGTTTCTCACTAAGTTTACGCTTTAGCTCACTCTGTCGTCGCCGTTCTGTCTCTAGGACCACAGCCAAGCCAGCTTGGCGGTCCAGATTCCGCCGCTCCTCATACAGTGGGTTTTCAACCACATATTTCTGGGAAGAGAAAAGATAAAGGCTCAACAACTGGTCAAAATACAGTAAGAAAGAAAATCTTGGCCCTGTTACTATTGGAATTCAATTGGTAGAAACCCCTGAAGTAGAGTTATCTTCTTCAAGGATACAGATGGTTCTACCAGGTCAGCATCTCTTAATAGGACTGAAGAGACCTTCCTAGTAATTACATGGAATTTAAAGTATTAATGAGTTTTTCTGACTCTGAAGTTGTTTGACAAAGTCAAAAGGATTACTGTAGAAAGTGGAAAACTCCACAACTACTACAAAGACCAACCTTGTATTTCTCATTGTGCTGGTGACCCTTCACATGTTGCTCTCCAGAAATTGGATCCCCCAAAAATTCCTCACAGAGTTGGCAGTAATATCCAGTGATGGGAATCAGAAACTCAGAACCTGAAAGAAGAAGTCAAGAAAATAAGTCATTTCCACCTAGGATGTCAGTAAAGGAAATCCCACTTCCCCTTTGCAATAAAAAAGTCAACGGTATACAGGACCTTACCCACTTTCAAGTCAGAAGTAGCATTTAGATGAATCTAAATGGCACAGTCTTTCCAATTTAAAACTTGAAACTCAGAACCTCTAGCCCTTCTCCCTCTTGGGAACATTACCTAGTTAATTCAGGAGTTTCCTGTGCCAGAGTCAGTTCTGTTGTTGATGCTCCTCAAACTCCAACTACCACTAAGCATTGTAGGAAATTTAAAAACTATACTCCCAAATAGCTCAGTACCATTTGTGTGAGGATCTCTCATGCTGGTGTTAATTACTCAAGAATCTACCTTCTATAAATTAGCACTGACTACTTAACGAAGGTAAGAAATTGAGAAGTATAAAGACAGACTTTCTACTTCTCAACCTACCCCCAATAACAACTATTCAAAAATATTTTATAGTTCTCAGGTGAAAAAGTAGTTAAATTACTATACCTTTTATTGTTCTTTTACCTGGATTTCAAATAAATAAGATTTTGGTACATAAGTCAGTGACAAAAAAAGTTATATATACATTAAAAAAAAATTTTTTTTTTAAGTAGGCTCCACGCCCAGTATGGGGCTTGAACTTATGACCCCAAGATCAAGAGTTGCATGCTCTGCCGGCTGGGTCAGCCAGGTACCCCTCAGTTATATTTTAAAGTGGGTATGTATATGTTTAACAATTGTTAGAATTTTGGCCATATGGGTGGAGATCATTTTTGTCGTATAGATCTTCAGGATCTAGTTTGCACATAGAAGGCATTCTTACACCTTTGTTAACAAAATGGTTATGTCTCACCCTATGCTACTTCCTAGCACCTTAGTTCAGGGGACTCTTCTTTGGCTAAATGTAAGGAAACTACAAAGGAGGCAGGGGGGATCATACCTTTTGCAGGAACAGTTATCTTGTCAGTACGCTTTACAGCATCTTGCTTGGCCTCACTCTGGGTCTTTGAAGCCCAAGGTCTGTTGTAGGGATCCAGTGTCTATTTGCAAGAGGCAGAGGCGCTCACACAACAGCACTAAAACTCAATGACCCACTTTTCTCTCTTTTTCTCCCCCACACCAGGGGGACCAGAAACCCCCAGCTACCCACCCCCACCCTCTCTGCCAACTGTTTAAACGGAAATCACCTGTGGAAAAGGTAAACACATGTTAGAGCAAGTACTAGCAACGGATAAAATGAAACAAATAATCAGGTACTCAAGGAATCAAAAGAGGCAGAAGCCTCACTTACACTTGTCATGGTGTTTAGTTACAGGCAGGTCCCCTGGACTGAGTCCTGGGGATGGTGTGTCCTTTGTTGGTATCTCTTGGCTCTTCAGATTGGGGCTCCTGCCCATATGAGAATGTTTCATTTTCCAGCTTTGTAATGCAGATGGGGGTGTAGAAGTTTGAGGGGAAGGAGGGCGAGAATGGAAATAATAGCGAGCAAGATACCTACCTGTGTGTGCTTCTTATTGTGCATATGAGTGAAGAAGTCAAACATGGTTCCACAGATGGTGTTGCAGTCTTTGCACCAGTGATTGCCAGCATCATAATACTCATAGGCAGCAACAGGCTGATCAGCCTGCTTAGCAGCTGGCTGGGGGCTCTCGGCAGGCTTGGGGCTCTTAGTATGGGAATTCTCACTGTTTACCTTTGATTCCTAGAGGGAAAACACCTGCACTCAGAAGGAATTCTAGATCTGTCTTCCGCAGAAAAAGCAGGTAGCTTACTGCAATAATCGATACAGGGCCACATGACCATATTTTCAGTGCCTACAGCTATATAAACTGGGGAAAACCTCATGAGAAATCTGTCTACAAGGCTCAAACAGAACTATAGTGCTACCTGATCATGGAGAATACATCATAATGGCAATATATTTACTTATATATCCTAAAATATTTAGAAAAATACTCAAGATTATGGAAGCACTGGCTGCCTCTGGAGAGGGGAAGTAGAGAACAAGGATGGACAGGAGTCTTTTTACTGTACAGCCTTTGGTAGATGTTGAATGTGTTCCCTATGCAATTAAATACATTAGTTAAATTTAGAAATCATAATGACAACTAAGAAAAAAGAAAAAACAACACGGAAGAGGTAATTGACAGGTTAAGCAAATGCAGAAAACACGTAATAGTGAACCCACTTATCATAGACACATCCTGGTATGCAAAACTGGAGAGCAGGGCTGGTGTTGAGCATAGATAAAGCAGACAAGTCATCTACGTGGGATGACTTAAGAGAATCTGGGTAAAATATTTCAAACTGCCTAAAATACCATCATTAGAATTTAACACCTTTGAGTTAACATGAATCCTCTTTTAAAACATATCAACTCAGGGACACCTGAGTGGCTCAGTCGTTAAGCGTCTGCCTTCGGCTCAGGTCATGATCCCAGGGTCCTGGGATCGAGCCCCGCATCAGGCTTCCTGCTCAGCGGGAAGTCTGCTTCTCCCTCTCCCACTCCCCCTGCTTGTGTTCCCTCTCTCACTGTGTCTCTCTCTGTCAAGTAAATAAATAAG